CCCCCCTTTTCCAGGCGTAAGATGATATTATTTGAACGTCCCCTTTAGGGGTTTTCTGGATGAATCGGTCCATGTCTACATCTAGCCTCCTAGCCTAAGATTTAAAGTCTTTCACAAATTGTTATACTAGATCTAGATATATCTAGATCTAGATCTATCTACCTGGTGCTACGGAACCAAGCAAGCTAAATAATCAGACAATCGTGTTTACGATTGATTTACTCTAGATCTAGATCTAGCTAGACTAGAAGATGATTCAGTCCAAACAAGACTATTGGGTCGGTTTGCTCGCCAGATTAATGGTGCACAGCGGCTATCGTGGCACAAGTCGATCGCGCCCGACTCGTTGTTTCAAAACAAACACGTTGTTTTCAGGCGACGAGTCGGGCGATAATCCCGACCCGACCCAGCCCGGGTCACTACTGGGCGGCGTCGGCGGGCACCCCGTAGTGTAAAGGATCGAATTGTCCCCCTTGGTGTCGTTATTTTTAGTCGTGGAAGAAAATTTTGGTGTTTTTAATGACATTTTATTATTATTTTCCCTAATTTTGCGGGAAATTGGCTAAAATTCGCGAATTCACGAAAATGGTAAAAGTTGCCCGAAAGTTGCGCTAAGGGCAAAAATTGCGCGCGCAACTTGCGGGTTGCGGGCGCGAATTTCTCTGAGGACAGTCTAGTGCGGATTCAGGAAAACACGATCTACTCTGGATCACCTGGTCCGCCCGGAGACCTTTATTTGCGAGGACGTTTACCTAGAAAAAAACTTCGATACAACCTGGAGGTACGTCATTCTCAGAGACCTGCACGCTTTCGGCATACGCAGTCACCTCCCTGCCTTCATTGACAATGTCCTGAAGAACCGCTCCTTCCAGGTTCGTGTCGGATCCTCCCTCTCAGACCCCCACCAACAGGAAGAAGGTGTCCCCCAGGGAAGAACTAGAAAGACCGAGGTACTCGATAGAAATTCTCCCCATATCGCCTCTGTATTTAAACAATCAAACACAGCCTTACGCAACGATAAAATCCCCCACTGACAGGGTCTCTGCCAGCTTCCATCCCGCGAAGAGATGTGGGAGAGTATCAAGGCAAGGCAGGCAAGGATGGGTGCTCGCTACGTCAAGTCCAAGAGACATACCATACAAGTGGACTTGATCCCGTTCTGTGACGAGTTGGCCGATATGATTGGCGTCAAGCCAAACTTAGGTAAATCACTTCCCTTTTCCATCGGTACACTTTTCACTCTCTCACTTTTCACCTCTCGCATTCTTTTACTCTCTCTCTCTCTCTCTCTCTCTCTCTCTCTCTCTCTCTCTCTCTCACTCACTCACTCACTCTTTCCTCTTTTCCTTTCTCCGTATTACTCTCGCCTTCTCTCTCGTTTCACTCTCTCACTTTTCACGTTTGTCTTTCCCATCTCTTTCCATCTTTCTTCTCTTTCTCTCTCCCCCTCTCCCCCTCTCTCTCTCTCCTCTTCTCTCCTCTCCCTCTATCCATCTATCTATCTATTATCTGTCTATCTATCTGTCTGCCTGTCTGTCTGTCTGTCTGTCTATCTATTTTTCTACCTATCTATCTGTTATTTTCCCTCTTTCAATACGTTATAAATCTGCATTCTGTACTCTCTCTCTCTCTCTCTCTCTCTCT